GGGCCTGGCAGCAGCGCCTCAACGGCCAGATACAGCAGATCACCCTGCAGCTGCTGGTCAGCATCCTCAGGTATGTGCGGCCATTTCTAGTGTCTGTGAAAGGTACCCAGCCGACTCGCAGCTCCACGGTGGTGCAGCCCTCGAAGCTCAGGGAACCAGGAGGCGAGAGGCGCCCCCACCACCGCCAGTTCTTTCCTTGTGATGGTCGCATATCAGCAGGTCACCGGGAGCCTGTACTTACTCGGACCCTGCCCAGGCCTCTCCCGCAGGTGACCCCTTGTGGGTGACGGTGCTGTGGAAGGCCAGGCGGTCCAGGGTGGGGGGTGGACAGACCATTTCGGGAATGAAGCGCACCCCAGGGAGAGCCGCTGGGCTGGGGATCTCAGGATGCAGCCCGTCGGACAGATGTTTCTTTCTCCGGATTCCTGTGGTTTTCATTGTCTGCTGTCTGCTGTCTGCCGTGCGCTGTCGGGAGCTTACATTCATGCTAGAGTCGGTTAAGGAGCTAGTAAAGTGTGTTTATTTCAGTGACTGACTCGCTATTTCTGGCCTAAATACACAGTCATTTAAGGAACGTATGAGAATGTGTAACTTTGGTGAAGTCAGTCTTAGGAAGAAGCCTTCGGTCTGCCCCGTCCTTCCCGGCTGCCTTCTCCCCGAGCCTGCGGGGGGGGCACTGCAGGGACCCTCCACCTGCGAGCTTAGACCCTTACTTGCTGACCTGATGGCACTGTGACTATTCTAAGTCCCAGACTTTAGTGGCTGCATTCTTTTGGTGTATATACTTACATAAAGCAAATAACTAGGAAAAAATGGAGTGTATTACACACAGGCTGTGTTATCTCTTCTCAAAACAGTGTAATTTGTGTGGATGTAAATATGTTTTCCTTTTCTTTAAAAAAAAGCTCACCAGCAAGTTTTTTTTTTGGACACTTTACAAGCTTGGTGAATTCATTGAAAAGCAGGAAATATGTTTATAGATTATAAAACTTGATCTCCCTTCGATGCAATACTTTTTCCCTCCTGACCGACGGAAAACAGTGACGAGTCACACACTGAATAAGCCCTGTAAGGTTGCTGATTCGGATTTCAGACCATCAATCTAGATCTGGGAGACCACAGGTTGGCCGAAGTGCCCAGAGATTTACAGATAAGTAAATGGGATGCAAAGAGGTGAAGTGGGCCGTGGGGGTCAGGCCGGCTGCCGAGCAGCACAGCCCTCGGGTCCAGCTGCCCCTTCACGTCGGCACCCTGGACTCTACATTTCATTTGTACGAGTGGTTGTTGATTATTGCATTTCCATTGATGTAAAGAGCTGGAGGGCCTGGAGAGAAGACAACAGTGATGTTCCTTCTGGAAGAGCTGTGCTCGAAGTAACAAAACAGCCCGCCCCAAATGTGCCCAAACCGTGCCACTCAGGGGCTCAGAATGATCTGTCTGCAGAACAGGGCTCTGCAAAGTGCGTGCTTCCCATCATTTGTCTGCTAATATGTTTTCATGTATTTCAACAGTAGGATGTCTTTCTCTTTGTCAGGGAAGTAAAGAATCACCTGAATTATGAACACAGAGTATTTAATAGTGAAGAGTTTCTCAAAACAAGAGCTCCAGGGGACCAGCCGTTCTATAAACAGGTAGGAGGCGTGTGGGGTTTGTGTGTGTGTTCTGTCCTTTATGCTTCTCTGTATTTAAACCACGGAGTATTCTCGGCATCTGTTAATGTCTCATTAAGTGTATTAGCTTTCCAAAGTCTGTTTCAGTGTGTCTCCTTCTGATCCCCTAGCCATCTCTCATTTTTTTAATCAGCTTTTTAGAGTGTGATTTTCACGCAGTAAAATGCACGCATTGTAAGTATAGAGTGCTGTCAGTTTTGATAACGGTTTGTGCCTGGGTAACCACCTCGTCTGGATCTAGAGCCTGCCATCACCCACAGCAGCTGGCGTGCCCTCCCGTCGCCGGGGCTGTCTGCCCTGCTGGCCTGTGCTGGCACTCTGCTCCTTTTCTTGGCCAGTCGCCTCCAGGGTTGGGAGGTGGCGCCCTTGTTTCTGTCCCTGTGATGGATGCTCTGGGGGTGTGTGTGTGGGGGGGGTTTCAGTTCTTGTCTAGGAGCGTCAGCGTTCCAGGACTTTGTTTTGGCAGGTGGCTCAGCCACGTGCAGAGCTTGGTCGGTGGGGCTGTTCTTACGCTTTCTGGTGGGCGACAGCAGCCTTTTCTTGAGGCTGGCTTGGCCTCCCACTGTGTGACAGTGACCCTGGGCTGCACGCGACTCCACGTGGGCTGTGCCGGGCTCACCCATCTCCCGGCAGTCGGGGAGCTCCTCGGTCGTCTCTGCCTGCTCTGTGTGCTTTCACCACATGTGCCTCAGCTCAGCAGGGGCGTGAGCACCCTGTGCAGACTTCCAGAACTCTGCAGGAGGCTCTCCCTCTGGAACCCTGCCCGTGACTCCCGGCGGCCCAGGCCTGAGAGCTCTGGGCTGTGTCCTCGCCCGGGGTCTCCTCCCCACCCCGGAGCCTGCCTGCAGGCAGAGCTGGGCCGCCTCGTCCAGGGGCGGTCTCCCCTAGCCTCCCTGTAGGCTATGGCGGGGAAGGGCCTGGGGACCCATCTGAGCCGTCCTGGCCGTGCGGTAGTGCGAGTCCCCTAATGCAGGTGTAAAGTGGAGCAGCCACTGGCTTCCCGCCTGTCTGTGTCACCTCCTCTGTGGCCTCCTCCCACATTAATGGTTTGCCTTCTGGATTCCACACCTCCCCCACTCCTGCAGACCTAGGCAGGTGCCTGTGCCTGTGAATGACCATCAGCACTGCGAGTGGTGCCTGTCAGGTGTCAGCAGCATGCACCCCACCCCATGGAGGCCCGGCAGAGGAGCCCCAGGACTCCAGGCTGCGGGGTGGGGACACCAGGTCAGAGAAATGTCCGGAACACAGCTCCGGCCTGTTGAATGATGTGCCAGGCCTGCCTGGGCTTCTGGGTCACCTCCTCCTTCTGGTTGGCTCTGTGACCTGCCTCCCGTGATGCCCACAGTGTTCCCACGCCTGGCCCCCCTCTCCTGCTGGGCTGCTCCCCACACGCAGGAATCATGATGGAAACAGGCTGGCTGTCAGGAGTTCACTTTTTGAAATGAGAAGCCAGCAGCTGAGGGTAACGGAGAAGCCAGGCTGCCCAGAAGCAGTCGGTAGCAGACAGGATGTGTGGCCTGGAGGACTGAGGTCCCCAGAGGCGCAAGAGTCCGTGATGAAACTCAGATCATGGCTGCCGCTGTCGTGAGGGGGAAGGTGGTTTGGGCTTTTGAATTTTCTGTGATTTTCAAAGTGCAGAGAGTGGCTGATTTCTTCTGATTGGCTGGTGAGGAACTGGAGGAGGGTCTTGGTGGCTTACGAGGAATCAGAAAGCTACCTGTGTTTAGGAGCTTCTGTCCCGAGGCCAGTGTTGGTGAGAGGCTTTGAGTCGTAGAGTGGCTGATTTCTTCTGATTGGCTGGTGAGGAACTGGAGGAGGGTCTTGGTGGCTTACGAGGAATCAGAAAGCTACCTGTGTTTAGGAGCTTCTGTCCCGAGGCCAGTGTTGGTGAGAGGCTTTGAGGTCGTGCCGCAGCCCTGCAGCCAGGGGAACGTGCCCATCGTGGTCACCTGCCTCTGTCGTCTGTTCCAGGTTTTGGGCACCTACATGTTTCACTCTTTTCTCAAAGCCCGGCTCAGCAGAAGGATGGACGCCTTCGCTCAGGCGGACCTTAACATGCAGGCGGAGGAGGACAGGTACTCTGGTTGCTGCTTTTCGGACGCACCAATCCTTGGGGCCCCACATGCTCCCGGGAGCATAGTTTTATTTGGGGGGAAAAGCTCCCTGTTTAGAAACCTCTGAGTGGGCCCCTCCGTGTCCTTCTGCTTGGGGTGCTCTGGACGCTCGCCAGGCCGCAGGCCCCGGGGCTGTGCTGCCCTCTCTCTGCCACGTGTTCTCCTGTCCTCGAGGCCTCTTCCTGCCCACCTCCTCTGGGGCGCTTTCCCTGACACTCCTCGCATGGCCTTTATGCCGTGGTTTCTTCTGGGGGCACAGACTGTCTCCTTCAGCCTCCAGCTACACGTGGGGACACTCGGACACGCCCTGTCATCCATGTGTGCGCGAGAATATCGGATGCCAGTCACATCAGGGATGATGCCCACTCGAGGCTCACTCTCCAATCATTATTGTAACTGTAAGATAAAGCCTTGGTTTCTCTTCTCGCACCAGAATAAATGGGATACCCATAAGTCCAAGAAGACCAACCACTGAGAAAACGGTCTCGCGAAAACCTTCGCCCTTGCAAGTCGCCCACAGGCGCATGGTGGTCAGCATGCCCAACCTGCAGGGCATCACGGTGCCCGACCTGCTGCCCAGGAACTTGTCACTTCGGGAAGTAGATACTGTGGAGTATGGGGGCGGCACAGTTGGTAAAATCACCCGTTTCTCTGCTGTTTCCCCCCCAGAACTTGGTTCTAATGTTGCAAGTCATTGAAAGAAACCATATCTGTAGAAGGACTGGGTTTTTTTTAGCAGTTTAATAATTTGAAACATTTTTAGAATATTTATTTTGCAAACTATGTTCGTTATAGAAAATTGTTTCTTATCCGTGTTTTCCATCGTCCCATCTCACCACTAAAGACAATAGCTATACAGGTTTGGTGTCCTTCACCTGTACATGTGTGTGTCTGTGTACACGTATGTATCTATGTGCATACATATAATACCTGTGTCCAGATACCACCATCTAATGGGATACGCTGGCTCTGAGGCCCCCAGTGAGTGCAAGCTCTTTCTAGGTCCTGGGGGCAAAGGAGCCCAGGAGCTGACATTGTTGGGATGAAGGGAGGTGATAGACATGGCACCTGGGGTCATTCAGGGTCTTGGCAGGAAGGCAGCAGGGTCCGGGGTGGCAATGGGGCTCTGGGTGTGGACGCGACATGTCTGCAGAGGAGCGGGTGAACACTGAGGCTGCGCGCTGGGGCAGGCGTGTTCCAGGCGGGGCTGGCGAGAGCCCCTCCTGTGTTGAGAGGTGTGGCTGACCTGTGGCATGTTGGCTTGGAGCTCCTCAGCACAGAAATGGCTCTAAAACATGCCTCGGTGTGTGTTGCTCACGTCTCATTTCCACGGGGGCTGCAGCAAAGCACCTCACATGTATCGTCAGTTTTTTATATTCAGGGCCCTTCACCCTGCAGTTCCTGACCCTGGGGTGGGAGAAGTGGTGGGGAGATGTGGGCCCCCCGTGGGTGCTGACTGGTGCCTCCTGCTGAATGAGGAGCGCACCCTGCTGGCTCCAGGAAGGGCCCTGGGTTTAAACAAAGGCCTGAAGACGGGAAACATCCTGGAGGCCACTGCTGGGTCCGAGTCCCCTGCACAGCCACTTTATGGCTGTGTGACCCTGGGTGGGTCGTGTCACCCCTCTGAGCTCACTGCTTTTCTGTAAAACCCAGGGATGCCCTCTCCTCTCATGCTCACTACGGTGGGCATGCCTTCTGCTCTCTGCCCTCTGAGCCTCCTGCTGGAGCCCCCCTGCCCCTCCCAGGACCCTCCCGCCCCATCCAGGCTTCCTGGCTGAGACCCCACCCGCCAGGATGAACTGCAACCTGCAGGCCTGGCCTGTGGTCTCCTGGCTTCCTAGAGGCCCTCAGGTGGTATTTGGTGCAGGGATTGATGGGACACACCTGGCTGAGGTTTGGCTCTGGCACTTAATAGCTGTGTGCCTGGACAAGCAGAAGCCTGAGTTTGCACGTCTGTAAGATGGGAGTGACAACAGCACCCACCTCGTGGAGATGCTGTTCGATGTAAATGATGGGGAAACGAGCCAGTGACTGCGCAGACTCAGCCGTGCCTACCGAGACTCCCTGGCTTAGGTTAATAGCTTAGCGCTCTCACAACCAAATGTTTCAAGTTAGCATGAATAGTTTTAGCAAGTAAACTTAGTCAGCCTTCTCCGGGAGCCATGGAAGCGAAGTGAGGCCCCCGTTCAGCTGGAGGCCTGGTGCTTTCTGGGGGAGGTGCTCAGGTTCTCCCTGTGTGGTGCGCCCAAGGCACAGGAACGCTGAGCGGGACGAGATGATGGTGGGGGACCCGTGTTTATTTTTAGGTCTGTGCTGCTGATACGCTTTCCTTGCCTTAACTCCTCAGACCCTAGTGTGACTCGTCAAGCGACGTACACCTTCAGAATCCCGGAGGTCCACTTTCCCCTGGTGAGCCAGTGCGTGCAGGCCTACTATGCTGACTGCATTTCCCTGCTCAGCAAAGCCATGAGCTTCCTGGCGCCCGACAACTCGGTGCTCCTGGCGAGGTACTTCTACCTGCGCGGCCTCATCCGCCTGATGGAGGGGCAGCTGCTGGAAGCCCTCCTGGATTTCCAGAGTCTGTACAAAACCGACATAAGCATCTTCCCTGCCGATCTCGTGAGGAGGACCGTGGGGTCCCTGTCGGCCCCCCAGCGTGCCCAGGCCGAGCAAAAACCCGAGCTGAGGCGGCTCATCAGCGAGGTCACGGACAAGCCCGGGGAGGCGCCCAAGGCCGACGACCGCGTGAAGAACTTTGAGCTCCCAAAGACGCACATGCGGCTGGACGACTTTGTGAAGAGGGTTCAGGAATCGGGCATCGTGAAGGACGCCCGCACCATAAACCTGCTGTTCGAGGCACTGACTGTGGGTAAGAGGCAGGCGCCAGGGTCACGTGACTTACACGCCTAAGGACAAGTCAGCCAGCGGTCTGGGGAGGTGGGTGAGCGAGGGCTGCCCACCTCTCTGGGCGTCTGCAGGAACCGGAGCAGGCACCCAACCCCAGGTCAGCCTTGCGAACCGTGTGGATGCCCGCCCTGGCTGCCCGCCACAAACCATGCTCTCGGGCCAGGAGACCAGGAAGCTGCCGCAGGGCCTCCCCTGTCCGCTGGGCTCCGTCCCAGCGATCTCTTCCCCTGCGCGCAGGGCTGTGGCATCTGTTGGATGCTTCAGACACCGCCTCGTCCTAACACAGGCTGGAGGGGTCGTGCTGGAGTGTGGGTGGCAGGGTGCCAAGTGAGCAGTTGGCATTTTTGTGCAGAATTGGAGACAAATGGAGAATGGGTGTTGTGGATGTGTGCAGTGGCCACAGGTGAGTGTGGGTGGCTGTGGGTGTGCACGGCAGCCTCTCGGGTTTGCACTGCTCAGTTCTGCAGCGGCCTGGGGGTGCCGTGCCCACAGCCAGCTGGAGTGCAGTGGACATAGTTTCCCTGAAGGGGTGTCCCTGCTCTCTGCCCTCCACTACCGGGGCTTTCTGGCACCCTTCAGCCGCCTCACGTCCGAGGCCCTGCACGTCTGAGGGTGCTGTCCCGGCTCTGCTGACATGCTTCGCTCTGTGTGGCTTCAGCGATCCTGCCAGGGCCCGGGAGCAGGAGGGTTTGTCCGGAGTGGCAGAGGGGACAGGACACTTGGGTCAGCCCTCGACTGCAGCGTCAGGAGTAACGGGTGTGTGCCTCTCCCTGGAGACCTTTCCTTGTGTGGTGGTCCGGTGAGAACTGAGGTGGCAAATGCTTTCATGGGAGCACCGTCACCCAGAACCACCAAGAAGTCAGGCTCAAAGCTGGGCAGGATGGCTACGTTGCGTGGCATTTCCGCCAACAGCTGTGTGAGGTCAGGCGCACAACCTGCACCCTCTCTGGTGCTGGCTGCCCAGCGCAGGGGACCCAGGCCCCGTCCACCAGGGTGTACGCCTGTGCTGCTTCAGTGACTGATCACGCAGGTACATACGGATATCTCACAAGCGATCTCTTCCCCTGCGCGCAGGGCTGTGGCATCTGTTGGATGCTTCAGACACCGCCTCGTCCTAACACAGGCTGGAGGGGTCGTGCTGGAGTGTGGGTGGCAGGGTGCCAAGTGAGCAGTTGGCATTTTTGTGCAGAATTGGAGACAAATGGAGAATGGGTGTTGTGGATGTGTGCAGTGGCCACAGGTGAGTGTGGGTGGCTGTGGGTGTGCACGGCAGCCTCTCGGGTTTGCACTGCTCAGTTCTGCAGCGGCCTGGGGGTGCCGTGCCCACAGCCAGCTGGAGTGCAGTGGACATAGTTTCCCTGAAGGGGTGTCCCTGCTCTCTGCCCTCCACTACCGGGGCTTTCTGGCACCCTTCAGCCGCCTCACGTCCGAGGCCCTGCACGTCTGAGGGTGCTGTCCCGGCTCTGCTGACATGCTTCGCTCTGTGTGGCTTCAGCGATCCTGCCAGGGCCCGGGAGCAGGAGGGTTTGTCCGGAGTGGCAGAGGGGACAGGACACTTGGGTCAGCCCTCGACTGCAGCGTCAGGAGTAACGGGTGTGTGCCTCTCCCTGGAGACCTTTCCTTGTGTGGTGGTCCGGTGAGAACTGAGGTGGCAAATGCTTTCATGGGAGCACCGTCACCCAGAACCACCAAGAAGTCAGGCTCAAAGCTGGGCAGGATGGCTACGTTGCGTGGCATTTCCGCCAACAGCTGTGTGAGGTCAGGCGCACAACCTGCACCCTCTCTGGTGCTGGCTGCCCAGCGCAGGGGACCCAGGCCCCGTCCACCAGGGTGTACGCCTGTGCTGCTTCAGTGACTGATCACGCAGGTACATACGGATATCTCACATTGTGTTTCTGTTTGGACCCAGTGACTTTAAAGCTTTAAGCAAATATGCAGTCATCGTAAACTGACTAGGAAGTACAGATGAGTGACGCTAAAGAACTATCCCGGAGGCCTGCCACCAGCTGGAGACACGCTGCAAGGGGTGTGTGCGTGGCTTGGCAGCCGCCTGGTCAGGATAACAACTTTCTCAGGGAAGGCTGCCCAGGTGTTTCCTCGGGTCCTGAAGGATGGGCAGTTTCCTGGCCTGAGCGCTGTGGTCTGATGTGGGCGGAGCCATGCAACCTGGCCTGTTTCAGGACACGCTTGGTGTGCCTGGAATGTGGGGATGTGCAGGTGAAGGTGGGTCCTGGAGGAATGTGGGGCCTGGTGTAGAGCAGAAGCCTGAAATCCCTGAACAAGGGAGAAAGAGCCCACACTGTGTCTTAGAAAGGTCACCAGGCAAGCAGGCTGCGAGCAGGGGTGGCCCTGAAGGTAGGGCCATTTAGGGCTGTCTTCCTGTGCAGGATGGAGGGCAGAGAGAGGACAGATGGATGCAGGATGTGGAGCAGCAGAGCAGGGCCAAGGCAGGAGCAGGCACAGGGGAACACTGGGGCGGGAAAGGGCTGGCTGGCTGGCAGGTGTGTGCAGGTGGGGGCCCCACCTCTGTTCACAGATAAGGAAGTGGGGCCACTGCTTCGCCCGAAGTCACGTCAGTCACCTGAGCAGAGCTGGGTCTCGCACCTGGTGTCTGTGCACCTCTGGAGCCCACAAATATTGGCTGTTTGGGAGGGTTACTGCTTCAGTTAAGGTCATCTTGGTTACAAATAATAAAGGAATTTGCTCATGTAACCAAAGAATACTGATAACTGGCTTCAGGCGAGTCTTGGCCCAGTGGTAAGCATCCCCAAGCATCGCCCAAGAACTGGCTCCCCTCATGGCCCCAGGAGGCTGCCACCAGGAATGAGCGTCCTTGTCCGGCGCTCCCACCTGCGTTCTAAGCCGGTATGACGACCTGGCGTAAGTCACACAGCCATCCGAATCCCAGAGTCCGGCTGGAGAGGGTAGACGGGCCCTGCCCAGATCAGGGGCCGGGCTGGCCAGTGCCTCTCCGGATCTCCCACCCGGGGAGTGTGTGCTGGCGCCACCTGCTGCCTCCGTCGGGCAGTGCGCGGCCCCTCCCAGTAATGCGAGCTCTGACTCCGCTGTGAATGTGGCTTTGAGAAATCTCTTTTTTCTTTGTAACTCTAAGGACAACAGAAACAAATCGACCCGGAGACATTTAGAGAGTTCTACAACTGCTGGAAGGAGGCAGAAGCGGAGGCCCAAGAGGTTAGCCTGCCTTCGTCGGTGACGGAACACCTGGATAAAAATGAGTGTGTTTATAAGCTGTCTAGCTCTGTCAAGACGAACCGTGGTGTGGGCAAGATCGCTCTGACCCAGAAGCGCCTGTTCCTCCTCACCGAAGGGAGACCTGGATACGTGGAGATTTCCACCTTCAGAAACATAGAGGTGAGAGGCTCACAGCCACCTGGCACACCCTGTTCGCTTCACAACAGCGTCAGACACCTGTTCTTCTCTAAAGGTGGTCCCTTCCCCATGGAGGAAATCTGCCCTGTCGCTGTGACTCATCTTAAGCCTTATGTTCAAGAGGCATGTTAGTGGCGTCCAGACTGAACGAGGGAAGGAGAGGCCGTGAGGCTGAGGGGGCCCCGTGGGAGCTGGGCTGCTGGATCCCACCGCGGGCTGCTCAGCTGGCCCCCGCCACCTGCGTAGCTGCTGACAGCATGTTCCTCTGGTCTGCCAGGAAGGCCCGCAGCTCTGACTCCGTTTGATGTTTCTGAGACCAGAGTCACATGGAGACCCCCGTGGCCCCGTTCCTCTCCTCCCACCTGGGACACGGCTCAGCTTTGGGTCACCCAGGGTCTCCCCGTGTCCTGTTGGGACCCTCCACCTCCGCCCTGCTGCACCCCGACCTGCCCCAGCTCTGGGCCCGGCACCAGGGGCTCTGTCCGGGCTCCCGGGGACAGCATCCCATTCCTCATGTGAGGGCACTGGCCGCGTGCCCTCGCAGCCCCGAGCCTGCTCTGCTGCCCGTGGCTCATGAGGATGGACAGCAGAGGCCGGGTCCTTCGCTGCGGCCTTGCCTTGCGCACCTGTGCCCTTCAGGGTGTCACTGCAGTGACCTTCGTCTTTCTCTGCCTCTTCCAGGAAGTCAGAAGTACCACAGTAGCTTTTCTGCTCCTGAGAATACCCACCTTAAAAATCAAAGTGGCGTCCAAGAAAGAAACCTTTGAAGCTAATCTAAAAACGGAGTGTGACCTGTGGCACCTGCTGGTGAAGGAGATGTGGGCTGGGCGGAAGCTGGCCGATGACCACAAGGTCTGGGGCCTGGGGCTGCCCTTCCTTCTCGCCCAAAGCTCGTCTCGCCGCACACCTGCCCCTGTAGTGATGCTCAGCCCTTGGTGCTCAGGGAACTTGGGGGTCCTGGGAGCAGAATGAGTGGAAGTAGATGAGGTCTGCCTGTGGGTGTTTGGGGAGGCCATGGTGAGCAAGCCAGCAGGGCCACGTTGGGGGGCGAGGGGGTGGCCACCATGTCCCCAGCAGGGCAGTGGTGGGGCCGAGGGGGGGCTGCTGTGCCCTTTCCGTTCTGGTGGCATGCCACGGTGGACGGGTAGTGGCCGGGCCCTGCCAGTGTGCGTGGGTGTCCAGACAAACCCCGCCCTGGCTCTCCACTCCACCACTTGATGGGATGAGTGTGTTGGCAAGGGGTATGTCAGATTCCTTCGGCTGGGTTTACGTTTATAACCTAGGGGCTTCTGTACTTTCAAGTACTGTGAGCCAAGCCAAGATTCAGATGTGAAGGACACCATGGGCAGTCAGACAGTGGTCAGGGTGAGGGGCGTAGTGCGGGGTATCTGAGTGGCAGGTGAGGCAGGGGGCCTCGTAACAGGACTCTCACCATTAGAGGTACCCCCCGAACCTCCAGAGGGTGCAGGAGGAGCACCCCCGACGGTGGCAGATGTTAGGCTAGCCTGCCTGGCGGCCAGACAGCTCCCCTGGGGGCGGGAGCCCCGCTGCGGGAGGGGCCCGAGGTGTGGGCACTGACTGAGCGCGGCTGCTGTTGGGAGGGGGAGGGGTGCCGGGTTCTTCCTGACGCTCTGGCATTCTGTGACCTCTGGACCAGCTGTCTGGTCTTGTGCGCCCTGGTTTATTTAGCACAACCCTGCCTGCAGACCGCCCCGTATGGGAGGCTTTGTCGCCCACATCTGCGCCCACTGGTTACACAGGTCTGCAGCTGCCTTCAAGCTGTGTGGTCGCAGTGAAGGTCGTATGGCCCACAGAGCCTCTAGTACTTCCTACCCGGCCCTTTACAAAAATGTTTGCTGACCTCTGGCTTAAATGACAACATTTATCATAACCGAGAAAAATGATGATGACATCAAATCCAAACTTTTCCTAGTGCTTTGGAAAAACATGCATCTTTTAAAATATTGTTAAAAAAATAAGAATGAGAAAAGCAGTGTTTGACGTATCGTAATAGAGGCTGACAGTAAAGTGAGTTCAGTGACTGGTCTTGTTAAAGTGGAACTTGTCTCTCCGGCAGGACCCTCAGTATGTCCAGCAGGCGCTGACCCACGTCTTGTTGATGGACGCTGTCGTTGGCACACTGCAGTCGCCTGGCGCCATTTATGCTGCTTCCAAATTATCGTATTTTGATAAGATGAAGAATGAAAGTAAGATAAGCACCTACTTGACAAAGTCACGGGTCTTAAATGCCTCCTGATTTTTATCCGGTTGATAATTTATCAATTAGAACCAATCCCAAATTTCTCAAACGTTTTTCTCTGATGCTTTTAAATTTACATATGAATGTCACATGTTGTCCTGCATCTGCCCTTTCTCACACCTCGGAGCTCTCTGCTAAGCAGGGACGTGGAGGTCTGCACAGCTGTGACGTCTGAGTGACAGTCCACTTAACGCTGCACAGCGCTTGTCATGATTCTTCGTGGCCACAACAGCGTTTCCACTTGCTGGTTTGAGTGGAATAGAAATCTGTGGAAGGCTGTTGAGTGGCCCGTGGACTCTCTGGCACGGTCCCTGGGCCATGGTCACTCCGACCGCAGGCAGGCACCCCTCCCCCCAGGGAGAGCTGTAGGGGCCTGTGCACAGCGGGCCTGTTGACAGCTGGGTGTCCTGATTGTTGTCATCCTTTCTTGATTTGGTCAGTTTTCCCCGTGGGAGTTCCTTGATTTCCTTCATATACTTTAAATCTGGCCTCCACTGTGGGAGCCGTACAGAGGCTGGTGGAGAGCTCAGGTCGAGGAAATGGCAATGGGTAAGGGTGACTTTATGCATCACTGTGGCTACTTCTGTTTTGTTTCGACTTTTAAGCGACCTCCTAAAACTATTTGTCTTTGATTTGCATAATGAAGTGGGGATCTGTCCGGGCTCCCGGGGACAGCATCCCATTCCTCATGTGAGGGCACTGGCCGCGTGCCCTCGCAGCCCCGAGCCTGCTCTGCTGCCCGTGGCTCATGAGGATGGACAGCAGAGGCCGGGTCCTTCGCTGCGGCCTTGCCTTGCGCACCTGTGCCCTTCAGGGTGTCACTGCAGTGACCTTCGTCTTTCTCTGCCTCTTCCAGGAAGTCAGAAGTACCACAGTAGCTTTTCTGCTCCTGAGAATACCCACCTTAAAAATCAAAGTGGCGTCCAAGAAAGAAACCTTTGAAGCTAATCTAAAAACGGAGTGTGACCTGTGGCACCTGCTGGTGAAGGAGATGTGGGCTGGGCGGAAGCTGGCCGATGACCACAAGGTCTGGGGCCTGGGGCTGCCCTTCCTTCTCGCCCAAAGCTCGTCTCGCCGCACACCTGCCCCTGTAGTGATGCTCAGCCCTTGGTGCTCAGGGAACTTGGGGGTCCTGGGAGCAGAATGAGTGGAAGTAGATGAGGTCTGCCTGTGGGTGTTTGGGGAGGCCATGGTGAGCAAGCCAGCAGGGCCACGTTGGGGGGCGAGGGGGTGGCCACCATGTCCCCAGCAGGGCAGTGGTGGGGCCGAGGGGGGGCTGCTGTGCCCTTTCCGTTCTGGTGGCATGCCACGGTGGACGGGTAGTGGCCGGGCCCTGCCAGTGTGCGTGGGTGTCCAGACAAACCCCGCCCTGGCTCTCCACTCCACCACTTGATGGGATGAGTGTGTTGGCAAGGGGTATGTCAGATTCCTTCGGCTGGGTTTACGTTTATAACCTAGGGGCTTCTGTACTTTCAAGTACTGTGAGCCAAGCCAAGATTCAGATGTGAAGGACACCATGGGCAGTCAGACAGTGGTCAGGGTGAGGGGCGTAGTGCGGGGTATCTGAGTGGCAGGTGAGGCAGGGGGCCTCGTAACAGGACTCTCACCATTAGAGGTACCCCCCGAACCTCCAGAGGGTGCAGGAGGAGCACCCCCGACGGTGGCAGATGTTAGGCTAGCCTGCCTGGCGGCCAGACAGCTCCCCTGGGGGCGGGAGCCCCGCTGCGGGAGGGGCCCGAGGTGTGGGCACTGACTGAGCGCGGCTGCTGTTGGGAGGGGGAGGGGTGCCGGGTCCTTCCTGACGCTCTGGCATTCTGTGACCTCTGGACCAGCTGTCTGGTCTTGTGCGCCCTGGTTTATTTAGCACAACCCTGCCTGCAGACCGCCCCGTATGGGAGGCTTTGTCGCCCACATCTGCGCCCACTGGTTACACAGGTCTGCAGCTGCCTTCAAGCTGTGTGGTCGCAGTGAAGGTCGTATGGCCCACAGAGCCTCTAGTACTTCCTACCCGGCCCTTTACAAAAATGTTTGCTGACCTCTGGCTTAAATGACAACATTTATCATAACCGAGAAAAATGATGATGACATCAAATCCAAACTTTTCCTAGTGCTTTGGAAAAACATGCATCTTTTAAAATATTGTTAAAAAAATAAGAATGAGAAAAGCAGTGTTTGACGTATCGTAATAGAGGCTGACAGTAAAGTGAGTTCAGTGACTGGTCTTGTTAAAGTGGAACTTGTCTCTCCGGCAGGACCCTCAGTATGTCCAGCAGGCGCTGACCCACGTCTTGTTGATGGACGCTGTCGTTGGCACACTGCAGTCGCCTGGCGCCATTTATGCTGCTTCCAAATTATCGTATTTTGATAAGATGAAGAATGAAAGTAAGATAAGCACCTATTTGACAAAGTCACGGGTCTTAAATGCCTCCTGATTTTTATCCGGTTGATAATTTATCAATTAGAACCAATCCCAAATTTCTCAAACGTTTTTCTCTGATGCTTTTAAATTTACATATGAATGTCACATGTTGTCCTGCATCTGCCCTTTCTCACACCTCGGAGCTCTCTGCTAAGCAGGGACGTGGAGGTCTGCACAGCTGTGACGTCTGAGTGACAGTCCACTTAACGCTGCACAGCGCTTGTCATGATTCTTCGTGGCCACAACAGCGTTTCCACTTGCTGGTTTGAGTGGAATAGAAATCTGTGGAAGGCTGTTGAGTGGCCCGTGGACTCTCTGGCACGGTCCCTGGGCCATGGTCACTCCGACCGCAGGCAGGCACCCCTCCCCCCAGGGAGAGCTGTAGGGGCCTGTGCACAGCGGGCCTGTTGACAGCTGGGTGTCCTGATTGTTGTCATCCTTTCTTGATTTGGTCAGTTTTCCCCGTGGGAGTTCCTTGATTTCCTTCATATACTTTAAATCTGGCCTCCACTGTGGGAGCCGTACAGAGGCTGGTGGAGAGCTCAGGTCGAGGAAATGGCAATGGGTAAGGGTGACTTTATGCATCACTGTGGCTACTTCTGTTTTGTTTCGACTTTTAAGCGACCTCCTAAAACTATTTGTCTTTGATTTGCATAATGAAGTGGGGAATGTAGGGGACTTGCCACTATTAACATTACCGCCAGTTAGTGGGTCAGTACTTGCATATCCATTCAAAGGGCAGCCGTCAGCACCGTGGATTCTAGAGCATTGTCATTGCCCCCAGCCCCTGAGCAGCCCCTGACCTCCTCCGTGCGCCCTGGCGGGGCCGCCCGCCCTGGGCTCTTCACGCAGGTGGATCCTATGGTGTGTGTCGTCTTGTGGCAGGCTTCCTTCACTTAGCGCCGTGTCAGAGGTCCCCCCGGCGGCAGAGCCCACACCGCACTTCTCTCTGCGGCCGGACAGCATCCCCGAGTGGCTGCAGGGTGTGTTTACTCACCCACTGGGCGGCTCTCTGATGGTTTCTGCTCTTTGGTTACTAATTATGCTGCTGTGAACACTTACAGGCTTTGGTTTAGAGAGATGTTTTCATTTCTTGTGGATACACAGCTAGGAGACTCTGGTTTTTAAATTTTTTCCCAGAATTAGGAAAAACGAACCTCAACTACATGTTCAGTCACTTGAGCATGTTTTGCTTTTTTTCACATCTGTCACTGTTGAGATCCCTGATGCTTCCTGGTCCCACCCCTCTTCCCGTGTCCCACACCCCGTGTCTCACACCCCCTCCCCTGTGTCCTACACCCTGTGTCCCACGCCCCATGTCCCATACCCCATATCCTCTTCCGTGTCCCACATCCATGTCCCACCCCCCTCTTGTGTCCCCACCCCCATCGTGTCCCTCCCCACCTCCCCCCGTGTCCCCCCCCACCTCCCCCCGTGTCCCCCTCTCTCCGAGCGGTCAGGATGCTTCACTAACAAGACCTGCCGGGAGGATTTGGGATAGCTCTCGTCAGCAGTCCTGGAAACAGGTGTTGATTGTTGTTTTTTTTCCCTTAATTAGGAACAAAATTAAACACTACACTTCAGCTGTTTGCATCACTCCAAACTCATACCTAATCTTTGTCAGAGTTCACAGAGAAGCCTTCTAACTCCCCTGTAAATGGTGCAGACACCCTGGTGGCACCTGAAAGTGACAGCCACTTGTAACTGCCATCCACCTGTTGCAAAGCGGGGGTGGTCTGAGCTCTGTTCTGATCCCTTGTGTGCTGTGAAGCCTCACGAGGTAAAGGTGCACACAGCTTGGGCTCAGTTTAAAGCTTAGGGCTAGTTCATGACAGATGGCCTAAAATTAGACTTCTGAAGTTTTGCACCCCATCCTGATGGGAGGCATTTGGCAATGCCTGGAGACATATTTGCTCGTGTTGAGGGGGCTACTGGTATCTACTGGGTAAGGCCAGGGATGCCGCTAAAAATCCTGCAGAGCACAGGACAGACACCCTACGGTGGCTGCGGCCAGACGTCCAGCGCCTGAGCCAGGACCTGCGTTCGTGGGTCAGTCCTTCCAGTTTTGTCCTGGGAATATTCAGCTGACAGATGGCTTGCATCTTCTCTGCCAGGATGCACGGGAGGACCGGGTGTGAGGAGGGTCAGGCCGTACATCTGCCTCGTGAGAAGGGGGCCCGATGCCTGTAAATGCTCATCCCCGCCAGGGCTTTGCTCAACAGACGGGAGCGGGAGAAGGGACGCCGAACAGGCACGGCCTTGCTTTGAGGTCGGGTTTCAAAGAGAAACCAATTAGGTTTCACCAATTCACCTCTTCACCAATTAGGAAGTCCTGCCTCAGCACTAGAAATGAACGCAGCACGTAGGAGGCTGCGGAGCTGCGTGGGCCTCCCGGGGTCCGGGAGGCTGACCGTTGGTGTGCTTGCCCCCCAGCGCCCATGGCAGTTCCAAAGACGACCTCAGAGACGCTGAAGCACAGGATCAACCCCTCGGCGGGAGAGACGGCCCCGCGGGCTGTGGACGTCCTGCTGTACACGCCGGGTAGGTGATGCCCCCACGTTGGCCGCTGCTGTGTACAGCAGTGTGCTGAGCTCGGGCTGGCTGCAGTCAGCCAGGGTGCGGAAGGGGACATGGGCTGGTGTAGGGTGATGGGGTACCCGGTGGGCTTCTGCCTTCTGAGACCCCAGGCGGTGCAGGCGGCTGCCAGCGCCAGGCCGTGCAGACCCCCAGATGAGCCGCCGGTTCATAGGGTGCTGCACCTGCCTTGCCCCATATGGGTGTTTGATCCCGTGGTCACCGCAGGAAAGCACCCCTCGAGATCTCGTGCTAAAAACCAGGGGCCCGGGGCCTCCCACTGGGGTGGGCGGCAGCCCTCCTCCCAGCTCTTGGCTCCCCGGCCCGCGGGTGGGTGAGGGCCAGGAGGGGCCTGGCACGGCCCGCAAGTCGCAGCTCTGAAAATGCCCTGGCGCTACTCGGCTGTGGCTTTGAAGAGCTGCTGCAGGGTGGTTCTGAGGGCCCACAGCGCGGAGAGCCGAGACGTGCTTCCGGGCGGAAGAGCCTCAGACCCTGCGGCTTTGCTGCGGCCTCACCGGTGGTGCTGGCAGCCACTGCCAGGGGGTGCCCCGGGGGGCCGTCCTCGCCCGCACTCGGGGTCACGGCTTCGCGCAGCCTCAGCTCGCAGCCCGGCAGCCCACAGTTCAGATGGCCCATCGACGCCCTGCCGCAAAGCCGCTCGCCCGCCGGAGGACAGCCTTGCCTCCTGAGAGACTGTCCTGGGGCCCCGGGCACACTCACCCTGGCACGCGCCTCGTCTGTTCGACCAGGATGGCTTGTCAGCTCGCTAGGTGGCGACCCCCAGACCAGGACACTTTTCATCGTGGCATCTGAATATGTGATTCTTTCTAAATCTGAATTCGTTTCCTGTAGATTAAAACTGCTGAGACCTGGGCTGCCTGTCATGATGGGCTAGGGAACCAAGGCCAGCCATCCTCTGACAACGTCAGAGGGGCCAAAGTAAAGAACCGCCGTGAGGATGGGGGGCCCTCCTGTGGGGCGGCTGCCAGCTCTGGAAGATGTGGCCGAGAAGCTCCGCTGAGCAGAGCTCTGGCCAGCCCTGTGGAGTCAGACGGAAAACCAGTCAGGCCCCTTGGCACCGGGCCCAGGGATCAGAGGACCGGCCCTCAGGCACTCGCGGCCCCTTCGGAGCCTCTGGGTCTGGTGGGGCTGAGGGGTGCATCTCGGTGGGGCAGGATCTCCCCCTAGGGGGCCAGGAGACCACGGAGTAAACATCCTGGGAGACTCTGATCCATACTCTCTGATCCATGGCTGGGCGGGGTGGGGTGGGGGTGGCTACCACACGGCAGGCGTGCAGGGGAAGGACAATCTTTACTGTAAATGGCTCTGGGCCACTGCATCCGCTTGGAGAAAGTGAAGCTGGCCTTGCCTCCAATCACAGCACCGTCACTTCCAAGTGGACTGAAATCTAAAGGTGAAGGCAGAGGCCGAAACAAGGGCAAATGAATGAAGCATGTGAACTCCTAGGAGATAGTCTAGGATGACGTCTTCATGACCTCAGGACAAAGAAAAAAATTATATGAAAAATATACCACGCATAAAGAAAAGATTGATGAATTTGACTATAATAAGGATTTTAAAGACACTTAGAAGAGAATGAAAGTGGCAGCCACAGACTGGGAAAGGTTATTGGCAACGCAACGAGGAGCTCCTATCAACAGACACAGAAGGGCTACAAATCAAGGCAGCCCGACTCCAAATGACAGGAGACACAGACAGCTCACAGCAGAGGATGTCCACACGGCCAGTTAAAGCATCAACCTCACAAGCACTTTGGGAAATGCAATCAAATCACAGTTAAAAAGCCAAAAACTTCATACCCTTAGAATGGCCAAAATGAGAGACAACAGCCCTACACGCTGGTGCAGGTGTGGAGTCGGGCTCTCGCCCGCGCTCCCGGGGTTGTGGTGGGGGGTGGGTGCCTTGTCCAAGCACCGGGGCTCCTCTCCCAGTCTGCATGCTGAGCTCCTGGCCGGGCACCCTCCAGAGGGCACGGTTCTCTGATCGGAGCCAGCCTGCTCCCAAGGCTGTTAGCTCCAGGGAGCACCGCGGCTCCCGTGTGCTCACCTTTGTGTTCCAGGCCCCCAGCCGGTACCCAGGTGGGGTCTGAGTGACAGCAGGCATCACATGCTTTTGTGTTGAAGGGTTTCCGTTAAACATGTTTGCATTCTTGCCTCTCCAGGGCATCTTGATCCAGCGGAGAGGGCTGGCGACGCCCACCCGAAGCTGTGGTGCGCTCTAAGCCAAGGTAAAGTGGCCGTGTTCGACGCTTCCTCCTGGACCGCTCACCAGCACTGCATTAAAGTGGGCGCCTCCAAACTGGTGAGTGAGCAGTGTAAGCTTCCAGATTAAGCTGTGCTTTTGGGAAAATGATGAACATGTCAATCTGTATGCAGTACAGGCTAACAGGTTCCATGCGAGTCCACAGCATGTATCTGGAAAGCAATTCTGTAAATAGTGGGTCTTTAATTTTTATCTTGAGTTTTTAAATTAAATGTAAGCTTGTTCTGTCTTTTACTTAAAAGTCCTCAAGTGAGTAGGTAATGGTTTTAGCCACTCTGCCCTCTGAAACACAAAAATGGATTTCTGTAAAGTGAAGTACAGGGCTGTAGTCTCACATTTACCCGTCCTGACCTAAAACAGATACTTGTAATTATTTTAACATATTTGTTGGAAACTATGAACATTGTAACTCAGATTTGCTTGATGGATTACCTTGTGGTTGAGAAATCTTAATTCTTTGAGCTTTTAGACTGATTGCTTTTTTTTTTTTTGGATATCCCTAGGGACAGAAGCCTGGGAAGGGCATTTGTTCCCAGACACCAGGCTACAAAGAAGCCACGTAGATAGAAATAAGGGCAGGGGTGCGTGAGGAAGGCAGAAATGATAACCAGGGAGCAGGTGCTGGGACTAGTAGACTGAGAGGATGCAGCTCCCTGCAGAGCCCCGGGGTCAGGGCCCCTGAGGGGGTGGGAGTGGCCAGGTGAGGCAAGGGGCTGCCTAGGGCCCACCACTTGATTGATCGCAGGACCTGATGATGCTGGGGTTCTTGTTTGCAGAGTCGAAGAATGAACTTAGCAAACACCCAAGGCAGGAGAGCAAGGTACAGGCTTTTATTTAGAAATAAAGTGACAGGACAGAGCTCCCGGCTCACGCCAGGAGGGGACAAGAGAGCCCCTAGACTGATTGCTTTTTTAAGTCAACTACATTTGTGCAAAACAACTCCCCCCGCCCCCCACAACGCCCACAAATCCAGGGTCGTATTGTAGACCTGTGACCGTCAGACCTATGGCATGACATATGCTCTAGGGACATCAGCTCACTGCTATCTGGAGACTTCTTAAGGCTTGACACTGCCTTGTGAAAACCACTTCCCATGTTCCAGCCCACGTGTCAGTTACCCCCCCTCACCAGGGCCTCAAAATGAACCATGCTGGAATGTTCTACGTGAATGCTGGTGTTTCCAGGCAGGAGGTAACCTGGGACCAGGAGGTACGGCCTTTCTGGCAGGGCTACCTCACCTTCAACTCAGTGACTCGGGGCATCTTTTATTACGATGTCATCCTGTGATTCAAAACTTTTCACATGTACCCTCTGGTGGGCTTCATCCTGTTTAAGACCCTCTGAGGGTATAAAAAGTCACTGTCTCAAGGGGTCATGCTCAAGAAATCCTCAGGCCCAACTCCTTTAACATGAAACTGTTTCTTTCATATTTAATATCTCCTGAAGTTCCCACACCTAAGTGTCAGCATCAGCTTCGACGGCTGTGTTCCATCATCTAAAAACAATGTGACAATCTGTGGTACAGTTTATGCTTTCAAAACTGCTTTGAAACACATACTGTGAATTCAAACACATGTTGCTGGGAGGATAGGGGTCACTCTTAAATGCCTGCATGGCGGACTTTACATGTCAGCAAGATAGTAAGTCCTTAAATCATTTTCTCCCATATTCAAATAATGAGCCTCAGGTGATGAAGCAATGGAACCCAAGATCCGTTAAGTGAAGAAATATACAGAAATCTAATAATGCTTTAGGCCAAACAAAAAAACAGGGAGAAGTTAAGGAAGTCATTCTCAATTTAGTTTTCTTCTGTTGATTCTCAGTTACTAGCATCACTAAGACTTTAATAATAGAATAACTTAAAACCCCGGTTGACGTAAAATAAAAAAAGCTGCATTTGCTGGCCATCGCTGCTGCCCCCCAGTTAGGCAAGGTAACATTTAATTAAAGCAACGAGTTATCTCACTTACATGAAAATACCTACTAGTTTCACAGAGGTGTTTTTTACCAATGAACAAGACAGTTGGATAATTATATCAAGAAAATGCTGCCTCTGAATAATCTACAAGTTCTTGGGGCCACCAAACTAAAATTACACTCATTCTCAAATAGATGCCTCAAAAGAAAGTGCTTTTCTAAATGATTCATTCATTCTGGAATTAGCAAGTTAGCATCTTTTTCTAACTTACGGGAATACTCCTTGGTAAAATCAGAAACGTCCCTGTTTATAAGATCTTTCTTCTGACTTGAAGTCATGCTCCACCACCGACCACACCGATGAGTCTGCATTAGACTAGCCTCGGCCCTTCAACCCACAGACCTTTTAACTCTTTGAAACTTTGTATTTGCAAATCGGAGACATTTGTTCAGTTACCAGGAAAATGTCCGCATCATAGGTGAGGACAGGAAAGACGGTCATAAAACAAAATGAAGTGGCTCACTGGCAAGTGTCAGGTAGGGAAGGTGTCGGAGCGCCGTCTTAGTGACGCGGTGGGGTTATGATGGACAGACAGCGGGGCTGGGTTCCACACACTGTGTGCTTCTGTGCCTCCTCAGTGTTCGAACCCCTAATTTCCGGTTTCACAAAGTCTATAGATAATCGCTGCGGGGCTCCCTGGGACTCTGGCCCCAGATCCCTGGCAGTCTTGTTTGCTGTCTGCCCTCGGCATTCGCAGGCTCCATATTGCCAGATTTGCCTACTTGCTAAAATGTATTTGTAACTCCAAAACCACCTCTCACCGTGCTTTCACGGTCATCCAGACGCATGCACGCTAGCAGGGAGGCCGAGCGGCCCCGGCTGAGGGTGGACGAGGCCACGCCCGCCGTGCTGCTTGAGTCTGTACTGCAGGAAGTGTCCTCTCCGCGGCCTGTTCAGCACACGCTGTTCACCTTCGGGCCCCCCCGGAGCAGAGCTGAGGTGCTGTCTAGGCTCGCGTTCTAAGCGCACGAAGCCTGTGCCAGGCCTTGCGAAGGAAACTGTTAAGAGGAGCTCCGCTCAGGCACGGTGCCGTTCAGCGTTACGTTACGTGTGAGATGTCTTTAAGCAAAAACACCTTGAACATGAAACAAGATTCATGTGACCGGGGGCTTTTGTAACTCCTCAGAGTTCGAACTCGTAATTTCCAGTTTCAGGACCTACCCCTGGATGTCCCCATGGAGCCAGGGCCAGGATTTGCCGACTCAGTACTTGCGGTGACTTTATAGGACATACCGGCCACGAATACGGAGGCCTGATGGTGGCTCTCGTTTTCCTGCCCCCGTCAGAACTGTATGGTGATGGTGGAGCGGAACCAGGTGTGGGCCGGCTCGGAGGACTCAGTCATCTACATCATCAGCACCCACAGCATGTCCTGCAACAAGCAGCTCACCGACCACCGCTCCAGCGTCACGGGCCTGGCTGTGCGGGACAGGACGCGGGCACCCAGGTGTGGGCGCGCCCCTGGGGGGAGGGACCGCATGTCTGGGGGGCCTGGTTCCAGAGGGAAGGGCTCCCGTGGCTGTGAGTGAGCACTTGCAGGGGCCAGGCAGGCACTAGAGTAAGTCAGCTGAGGTTCTCGTCTGTCTCCGGTCATGGGTGCAGAGGGGCGTCTGCAGGCCCAGGTAAGTGTGCTCGTCGGGGCGGCTGGCACTCAGCCTTCCTGCCTGGCCCCCAGTCCTTGGCCCGCAGACGCTCTCACATGGTGTCCCCCACCCCCTGTGTGCTGCTTGTCCACATGTCCCCTTCCGATAAAGGTGCCAGGCAGAGTGGATTCGGTCCACCATGCAGTCCTCATTTTAACCAGATTTCTGTAAAGGCCGAACTTCCAAATAAGGCTGCACTCACGGGACTGGGGCCTGGACCCCAGCAGGGCTTTTTCTGGGCACCGTTCAGGCTGTACAGCGCGTCTGCCTCATTCGCCCACTCCTTTACCATATGAAGACTGTCAGCTCCCTGGGGGCAGGCAGCGTATCTGTTCCGCTCTCTGCTGTGCACCCCACACTTAGAACCGAGCCTGGCCCACAGCAGGTGCCCAGGGGAGACGAGGGGGAGGTGGGTCCCCGTTTCCCTCTGTTGAGGAAGCTCAGAGTGTTGAGAGGCTCAGAGTGTGGGGACGGGCCGCCCCAGCCCTGGATGAGGGGGCATGGCTCTGAAGAGTTCCTGTGGCCCCCAAGCTGCCTCCCTTCCCCTTCCCCCTGGCGTCACGGCACCTTCTGTGCTCAGCCTGGCGGTTCAGGAGGATGTAAGGTGCTGACCCGGAAATGACGGTCAGAGGGGGAGGGAGCGACACGCTGCACTGGCTGCAGCCCTCCCCTGCAGCCGCCAGCCCCCTGCTGCAGACTTGTCCTGCCTGGGGAGCACCCGTGTGAGCGGCCGGACCTTAGCCAGCAGTCCCTACGTTCACACTCCGCTCGCCGGCGTGAAGGGGCGCGGGCAGCAAACCGTGCTTGGGAGACGAGGGGCGCCCTCAGGAACTTGTCTCTCCTGCCGTCTGGGCTGTTCCTAGTGCAGCCTTGTTCTCGCGGCGGTGACAGTGTTTGCATGTCCCTTACTGTCCACACTGGGGATGCTGTGGCTGACGGTAACTTTGTTCTTCTCTGGATTAAGGCGTGCAGTTTTCAGGAGCCAAAATTAAATGTGTGTGTTTGCACCACCAGTGAGGTGTACTCGTGCAGTGCGGATGGGATGGTCCTGGTGTGGAACGTGCGCACGCTGCGGGTGACCAGCAGGCTCCAGCTGCCGAGCGGGCGGCTTTCGTCCCTCAGACTGCACAGTGGCCACTTGTGGTGCTGTAAGTCCTCTGCCCTCCGCCATCAAAGCGGGAACCTGACCCCTGCCCTGCTCTGAAAGCCCGTTCCTGCTGCTGTACCCATTTCTTACTTCGTGCTCCCCACTCCATGCTCCCCTCCTGAGTGGGCTGCCTCCCCAGTCCCACAGCCAGTGGGGTGCCTGCCATCCTGCACGTGCCAGCCCTCCTCATGGTGGCTGTCACTGCCCTGCTCGCACGCAGCCCGGATGGCCCCTGAGCTGTCGTTGCTCCTTCTGGGAGGTCCCTGTGGGCCCGTGCCTGACGATGCAGGCTCTGCACTTCTGAGCCTCCTAGAGTGCCGCAGCGGACCACACGCGGAGGTCTCCCTGGTGTGTGCCAGGTCACACGGGTAATGGTCACGAGTACATTTTTTAATTGAAGCATATTTCATGTTACAATGCACAAGCATCAGTGCACAGTTTGTTGTTTTGGTGAAAGCATATGGTGGCAGGGGCCATCCAGGGCCCAGATGAGCATGTGCAGACAGCTGAGAGCTCCCGCGTGCCTCTGCGGCCCCACCGAAGGCGTGCTCCGAGGGTTCAGAGTGCCGTCGCCGTGCATTTGTGTGCCTGTTCCTGGACGCTCGGGGGGCAGATGCTACAGCGTGTGCTCTCTGTCCGGTTCTCCCCAGCCCACAGTGTTCTCAGGACCCATCTGATACTTGCGTACCAGCAGCTCTTTCATCTTATCGCTGAGCAGTACCTCACTGTACGACTATGCTATGGTTTGGTTAGCTGTTCTCCCGTGGGTGGACGCAGGTTAACGGCTGACCCATGTGAGAAACCGCCAGGCCCTTTTCCAGGCTGCACTGCACCACGTTCCCACCAGCAGCGTGCGAGGTTCCTGTCCCTCCCCGACACTCAGGATCGGGGTTGTGCTGCAGCAGCCCTGGCAGTTGTGACGTGGTGCCACGGGTCTGACTGCGCTGCCCCGGGACCCATGGTGGCGTCAGTCTCTGTGTCCTCTCTGCAGGAGTGTCTGCTCAGACCCTTTCCCTGCCTACTCACTTCTAATGCCACTAATGACATGGTGGCTATAATCCTTATTTCTTTTCCATTTTCCTCATCTGTTCTTGTTTTCTCTTCTTCTGCCTTCTTTTGGACTATTTTTATACTCAATTTAATTTCCTCTGTTGTCTTTTTGGCTGTACATTCGGCCCTAACCACGGCCCGCCTCTGCTGTCATGTAGGCCGCTTGCGACAGCACAGTTAGTTCCATTTTCCTTTCTGCTCCTGTGCTGGTGTCAAATGTTAGCATTTTATTTCTACAACTATGAGAGGCTTCATAAAATTTTTGCTCATGCAGTCAATGGTCTTTCAAGGAAATGAAACAATTTTTGCCCATATAATTACCATTCCTGTGAGCACCATTCCTTCTTAAAATCCAGGCTTCCCTCTTGCATCGTTTCCCCTCAGCCCTAGGAATTTCCCGTAGTGATTCTTACTCTGAGTCTGCTGCACACAGTCCTAGGCTGAGGGTTTTATTCCTCCCACATGCTTTAGAAATACTACCCCACTGTCTTCTGGCGTTGTTCCTGGTGAGAAGCCCACCCCAGCCCTTAGTGCTGGGCTGAACACAAGGTCTCTGGTTTCCCTGGATGTTTGTAAGGTTCAGTCTTGGGTTTTTGTGAGTTGGACTACAGTGTGCTTAGCTAGGAAGGCGTTTGTGTTTACCTTGATTCTGGTTTACTTTCATGAATTTGGGGCACACTTCGAACCAGTCTGTCCTCCAGTATCTCTTCCTCTGCACGTCTCCTGGGGTTCTCATTATATATGCCAGGCCATTTAGTGATGCCCACAGGTCACAGGCACGGCTATCATCTCTTCATTCTTTCCTCTCTGGCTGTAGTCTGGCTAAGATCTGAATCTTTCTTCATCTGCTGTTAAATCTATCAAACAAATTTCCACTTTAGGTCTAGAACCTCTATTTATTTAACTTTAAAAAAAAATTTCCATTTCTCCCCTAATTTCTTCATCTCTTTACCCATCCCCTCCCTCTCCTCCTTTAAGTTTTAACAATTATTTGTAACTGTTGGCCTAAAGTCGTAGTCTGCTGGACATGGGACCATCTGTGGCTCTACTTCTGTCTGCTGTTTTTTCTCTTGGTTTTCAGTCGCATCTTATGCTTCAAGGGTTTGATTTTACTGGGTCCTGTGCATGTTGGTGACACATCAAGGAGACTGTCCTTTAAAGGACATCATGTTTTTTTCTAGAAGGCCATTAAATTACCGGCTGGGCATCTTGATTGTGTGTAGAGACTTGGCTTTGGGCTTTTTTGCAGTGAGAGTATGTCAGTTTTGACCTCGATCCTAGAGCGTGACCCCTAGTTCTGCGGTGCCTCTGCTCCAATAGCATCACCCTCCTGGGGTTTTAAGGGCACGCCTGAGGTATATGCAGCCCTTTGCAGCGCGATGAGTTAGAGCTCTGTAACTCCTCTCTCTGGCCCTGAGGCGCTGACATCTCTCCTTGAACAGTCCAGTTCCTTGTGTTACACACAGCTTAGGCATTCGCAGGCTCCATATTGCCAGATTTGCCTACTTGCTAAAATGTATTTGTAACTCCAAAACCACCTCTCACCGTGCTTTCACGGTCATCCAGACGCATGCACGCTAGCAGGGAGGCCGAGCGGCCCCGGCTGAGGGTGGACGAGGCCACGCCCGCCGTGCTGCTTGAGTCTGTACTGCAGGAAGTGTCCTCTCCGCGGCCTGTTCAGCACACGCTGTTCACCTTCGGGCCCCCCCGGAGCAGAGCTGAGGTGCTGTCTAGGCTCGCGTTCTAAGCGCACGAAGCCTGTGCCAGGCCTTGCGAAGGAAACTGTTAAGAGGAGCTCCGCTCAGGCACGGTGCCGTTCAGCGTTACGTTACGTGTGAGATGTCTTTAAGCAAAAACACCTTGAACATGAAACAAGATTCATGTGACCGGGGGCTTTTGTAACTCCTCAGAGTTCGAACTCGTAATTTCCAGTTTCAGGACCTACCCCTGGATGTCCCCATGGAGCCAGGGCCAGGATTTGCCGACTCAGTACTTGCGGTGACTTTATAGGACATACCGGCCACGAATACGGAGGCCTGATGGTGGCTCTCGTTTTCCTGCCCCCGTCAGAACTGTATGGTGATGGTGGAGCGGAACCAGGTGTGGGCCGGCTCGGAGGACTCAGTCATCTACATCATCAGCACCCACAGCATGTCCTGCAACAAGCAGCTCACCGACCACCGCTCCAGCGTCACGGGCCTGGCTGTGCGGGACAGGACGCGGGCACCCAGGTGTGGGCGCGCCCCTGGGGGGAGGGACCGCATGTCTGGGGGGCCTGGTTCCAGAGGGAAGGGCTCCCGTGGCTGTGAGTGAGCACTTGCAGGGGCCAGGCAGGCACTAGAGTAAGTCAGCTGAGGTTCTCGTCTGTCTCCGGTCATGGGTGCAGAGGGGCGTCTGCAGGCCCAGGTAAGTGTGCTCGTCGGGGCGGCTGGCACTCAGCCTTCCTGCCTGGCCCCCAGTCCTTGGCCCGCAGACGCTCTCACATGGTGTCCCCCACCCCCTGTGTGCTGCTTGTCCACATGTCCCCTTCCGATAAAGGTGCCAGGCAGAGTGGATTCGGTCCACCATGCAGTCCTCATTTTAACCAGATTTCTGTAAAGGCCGAACTTCCAAATAAGGCTGCACTCACGGGACTGGGGCCTGGACCCCAGCAGGGCTTTTTCTGGGCACCGTTCAGGCTGTACAGCGCGTCTGCCTCATTCGCCCACTCCTTTACCATATGAAGACTGTCAGCTCCCTGGGGGCAGGCAGCGTATCTGTTCCGCTCTCTGCTGTGCACCCCACACTTAGAACCGAGCCTGGCCCACAGCAGGTGCCCAGGGGAGACGAGGGGGAGGTGGGTCCCCGTTTCCCTCTGTTGAGGAAGCTCAGAGTGTTGAGAGGCTCAGAGTGTGGGGACGGGCCGCCCCAGCCCTGGATGAGGGGGCATGGCTCTGAAGAGTTCCTGTGGCCCCCAAGCTGCCTCCCTTCCCCTTCCCCCTGGCGTCACGGCACCTTCTGTGCTCAGCCTGGCGGTTCAGGAGGATGTAAGGTGCTGACCCGGAAATGACGGTCAGAGGGGGAGGGAGCGACACGCTGCACTGGCTGCAGCCCTCCCCTGCAGCCGCCAGCCCCCTGCTGCAGACTTGTCCTGCCTGGGGAGCACCCGTGTGAGCGGCCGGACCTTAGCCAGCAGTCCCTACGTTCACACTCCGCTCGCCGGCGTGAAGGGGCGCGGGCAGCAAACCGTGCTTGGGAGACGAGGGGCGCCCTCAGGAACTTGTCTCTCCTGCCGTCTGGGCTGTTCCTAGTGCAGCCTTGTTCTCGCGGCGGTGACAGTGTTTGCATGTCCCTTACTGTCCACACTGGGGATGCTGTGGCTGACGGTAACTTTGTTCTTCTCTGGATTAAGGCGTGCAGTTTTCAGGAGCCAAAATTAAATGTGTGTGTTTGCACCACCAGTGAGGTGTACTCGTGCAGTGCGGATGGGATGGTCCTGGTGTGGAACGTGCGCACGCTGCGGGTGACCAGCAGGCTCCAGCTGCCGAGCGGGCGGCTTTCGTCCCTCAGACTGCACAGTGGCCACTTGTGGTGCTGTAAGTCCTCTGCCCTCCGCCATCAAAGCGGGAACCTGACCCCTGCCCTGCTCTGAAAGCCCGTTCCTGCTGCTGTACCCATTTCTTACTTCGTGCTCCCCACTCCATGCTCCCCTCCTGAGTGGGCTGCCTCCCCAGTCCCACAGCCAGTGGGGTGCCTGCCATCCTGCACGTGCCAGCCCTCCTCATGGTGGCTGTCACTGCCCTGCTCGCACGCAGCCCGGATGGCCCCTGAGCTGTCGTTGCTCCTTCTGGGAGGTCCCTGTGGGCCCGTGCCTGACGATGCAGGCTCTGCACTTCTGAGCCTCCTAGAGTGCCGCAGCGGACCACACGCGGAGGTCTCCCTGGTGTGTGCCAGGTCACACGGGTAATGGTCACGAGTACATTTTTTAATTGAAGCATATTTCATGTTACAATGCACAAGCATCAGTGCACAGTTTGTTGTTTTGGTGAAAGCATATGGTGGCAGGGGCCATCCAGGGCCCAGATGAGCATGTGCAGACAGCTGAGAGCTCCCGCGTGCCTCTGCGGCCCCACCGAAGGCGTGCTCCGAGGGTTCAGAGTGCCGTCGCCGTGCATTTGTGTGCCTGTTCCTGGACGCTCGGGGGGCAGATGCTACAGCGTGTGCTCTCTGTCCGGTTCTCCCCAGCCCACAGTGTTCTCAGGACCCATCTGATACTTGCGTACCAGCAGCTCTTTCATCTTATCGCTGAGCAGTACCTCACTGTACGACTATGCTATGGTTTGGTTAGCTGTTCTCCCGTGGGTGGACGCAGGTTAACGGCTGACCCATGTGAGAAACCGCCAGGCCCTTTTCCAGGCTGCACTGCACCACGTTCCCACCAGCAGCGTGCGAGGTTCCTGTCCCTCCCCGACACTCAGGATCGGGGTTGTGCTGCAGCAGCCCTGGCAGTTGTGACGTGGTGCCACGGGTCTGACTGCGCTGCCCCGGGACCCATGGTGGCGTCAGTCTCTGTGTCCTCTCTGCAGGAGTGTCTGCTCAGACCCTTTCCCTGCCTACTCACTTCTAATGCCACTAATGACATGGTGGCTATAATCCTTATTTCTTTTCCATTTTCCTCATCTGTTCTTGTTTTCTCTTCTTCTGCCTTCTTTTGGACTATTTTTATACTCAATTTAATTTCCTCTGTTGTCTTTTTGGCTGTACATTCGGCCCTAACCACGGCCCGCCTCTGCTGTCATGTAGGCCGCTTGCGACAGCACAGTTAGTTCCATTTTCCTTTCTGCTCCTGTGCTGGTGTCAAATGTTAGCATTTTATTTCTACAACTATGAGAGGCTTCATAAAATTTTTGCTCATGCAGTCAATGGTCTTTCAAGGAAATGAAACAATTTTTGCCCATATAATTACCATTCCTGTGAGCACCATTCCTTCTTAAAATCCAGGCTTCCCTCTTGCATCGTTTCCCCTCAGCCCTAGGAATTTCCCGTAGTGATTCTTACTCTGAGTCTGCTGCACACAGTCCTAGGCTGAGGGTTTTATTCCTCCCACATGCTTTAGAAATACTACCCCACTGTCTTCTGGCGTTGTTCCTGGTGAGAAGCCCACCCCAGCCCTTAGTGCTGGGCTGAACACAAGGTCTCTGGTTTCCCTGGATGTTTGTAAGGTTCAGTCTTGGGTTTTTGTGAGTTGGACTACAGTGTGCTTAGCTAGGAAGGCGTTTGTGTTTACCTTGATTCTGGTTTACTTTCATGAATTTGGGGCACACTTCGAACCAGTCTGTCCTCCAGTATCTCTTCCTCTGCACGTCTCCTGGGGTTCTCATTATATATGCCAGGCCATTTAGTGATGCCCACAGGTCACAGGCACGGCTATCATCTCTTCATTCTTTCCTCTCTGGCTGTAGTCTGGCTAAGATCTGAATCTTTCTTCATCTGCTGTTAAATCTATCAAACAAATTTCCACTTTAGGTCTAGAACCTCTATTTATTTAACTTTAAAAAAAAATTTCCATTTCTCCCCTAATTTCTTCATCTCTTTACCCATCCCCTCCCTCTCCTCCTTTAAGTTTTAACAATTATTTGTAACTGTTGGCCTAAAGTCGTAGTCTGCTGGACATGGGACCATCTGTGGCTCTACTTCTGTCTGCTGTTTTTTCTCTTGGTTTTCAGTCGCATCTTATGCTTCAAGGGTTTGATTTTACTGGGTCCTGTGCATGTTGGTGACACATCAAGGAGACTGTCCTTTAAAGGACATCATGTTTTTTTCTAGAAGGCCATTAAATTACCGGCTGGGCATCTTGATTGTGTGTAGAGACTTGGCTTTGGGCTTTTTTGCAGTGAGAGTATGTCAGTTTTGACCTCGATCCTAGAGCGTGACCCCTAGTTCTGCGGTGCCTCTGCTGCAATAGCATCACCCTCCTGGGGTTTTAAGGGCACGCCTGAGGTATATGCAGCCCTTTGCAGCGCGATGAGTTAGAGCTCTGTAACTCCTCTCTCTGGCCCTGAGGCGCTGACATCTCTCCTTGAACAGTCCAGTTCCTTGTGTTACACACAGCTTAGGATTCAGCCAGAGTTGAGGAGAATTTATACATAAAATCTGGGGGTACTTCCCTTCTTTCCAGCCATGCTGGCAGCCTCAGCCAAGCTGGACGGCCACGTCCTGCTGTGACTTTTGCTGCTTGGTGCCCCACAGACCTGGAAGTACTGTTGGGGAAAACGGTGCTGGGGCAGCCTGCTGGGTTTCTTTGCCTTCAAAAACCAGCTTTGGTTTGTCTTTCAGCGGTCGGATGAGCCTGTGGGGTGGGGGGTGGGGTGGTGCCCCTGTGGACACCTTGTGTGCTCACAGAGCCAACCAAACCCTGGGCTAAGAAGGGCCCGTTGAACAGAGCAGGGGAGACCACCGAGGTTAGAATGGGAGTGGGTAGCTGTGCTGTAAGGGTGGGGAGTCCCTTTTATTTCACAAGGTAATAGAAAATGGTAAGTTGTCTTCCTGCTGAACAATGAGAAATGCAAGAGGAAAGTAGGGTTTCCCCAGGTGACAAAGAACTGCCTGTTCAGTACTGTGGGAGTCCTTCTGTCAGCAGGCAAACCCTGGTCACTCAAAGATCTCATTAGTCCAGACGTTGGGATCCCACCGGGTTTCTCGCTTCCCACCCAGATGTCTGTGGGCACAGCCTGAAGGAGTGCGTGGGGTGTGCTGGGCAGTGCCTCTAGGTCCTCCCATGGAGAGGTGAGCTGGGGGCCCCCGACTTGCCAGTCCAGCCGTGCTGTTCCAGGGCTGGCCGGGATGCTGTGCTGGCTCGGGCCGCCGGCCGGAGTGCCCTTCAGGATGTGAGCCTGGGTTTCCTAGGAGGGAAGTGGAGCCCTGCTCCCTGCATCTGTGGTCAGGGGTTCACATCTGTGAGGTTGCATGTGTGCCCGTGGCTCAGGCTGTGGCCTTGGGGTGCATTAGGCTTCAAATCCAGGCTTTGTTGCCAGACAGTTGGTCGCTGTGGGCTTGTTCTCATGCTCTCGGAGTCTCTTCACGTGGAAGGTGAGATGGAGTGCCACCCTTCCCGTGGGAGAGGCCACTCACAGCGAAGAACTGCAAGAGGCAAATCCCCCTTCTCACTGCTGACCTGCATGTGGCCAGCAGCAGTAGCCCTGTGGCAGGGCTGGCCCAGACAGGCGGGTGTGAACGGGGGTGGGCAGTGGGGCAGCAGGGGAGCGCCACGCCCACGGGGACTGCCTGGACAGGATCCAGGTCCTTCCACATGAGGCGGGGGCCTCGCCTCCACCAGAGGGGAGCCCCTTCCCCTGGGGGCTGGGCCCACGTCAGGGACAGCGGTCAGACCCCTATGTTTGCACCACCACAGTCAGTATTTGAACTCTGCCAGTGGGGCCAGGTGGGCTTGCTTAGTGTGTCTGGTGCACTTGGTGGGGCCTGGAGCGGCTTGGAGCCATGGGCAGCCCCATGGGCCCAGGGGCAGAGGTGCTCCGTGGGGAGAGCTTCTGCTTTGCTGACACTCAGCAGCATGTGGAGGGGCTGTTGGCTAGTGCAGGCAGACAGTGGCACACACATCTGGATAAAGAGCTTCATGCAGGATGCTTAGTGTTTGCCGTTGGGTCTCAGGAAAAGCCCCACTTAGCCGGGCATGGGCATAGGGAGATGTGGCAGGCGCTTGCTTTCCGTGACTGAGAACCAGCTGGCACGCCGCTGACCCATCCGTGTGGCCAGCACTCTCTGAAGACAGGCTGTGTTGTCCGTCCTTGTCCCCACGACACTGGTGAGCCGGCTTTAGTGTCTGGGTGTGGGGTCTGGGCGTGGGGCACGTGCCAGGACACCAGGACGGACAGCCGCTGGTGTCCGCAGTCTGCCTGCCGCGCAGACCTGGCTGTGCAGCTCTCTGGGCACCAGCGTTGCGGCTGTAGCTCTCATGGCATGGAACTGTTGGCTTGCAGAGTGCTTCCCTCGAGCGGCCGACAGGAGCAGACGGAGCACGGTGCTCGACACGCATCCACAGGGGCAGGTCTGCGAGCTCGAGTTCAGTGGCCACCCACGGGGTCAGGCCACCGTTGCTTCCAGCAATAGAAAATCCAGAATGACTGTGCAGGGAGCACCCTGAAGGCAGCCGTGCCCCATGAAGCCTCAGCGAGGGGTTTGCTCTGTGGCATGAGCATGGCCATAGGGACAGGTGGGGAGTGGCTGGAAGCACCACATGGCTCTCCGGGTCCACATGCCAGCATCTCGGCCAGAGCCTGGGGAGGGAGCCGGGGGCCGTGTCAGTCTCTGTGATTTTTCCAGGCATCTCATTCCTACACCACGAACCCGGCTGCCTGTCCCTCATTCCAGCTGCTTTTTACTGCAGGTACCAGCGACAGTATTGTGGTAGTAACAACGGATGGACTTCTTCATCAAGAACTGAAGCTGAATGAGAACTTTAAAGAGCAGAGCACCTCCTTCCTCAGCTTCCAGCTCCTCCCCGAGGTATCCCAGTGCCCGTCGGTGCCGCACGCGTGGCCCCAGGCCACCAGTGCCCGCATTGTCATTTCTGTTGCAGCAGGAGCAGCTCTGGGTAGCGCGTGCCGGCTGCGAGGACATCTGCGTCTGGAGCCTGCGGGACCTGGCCCAGCCCCCGACGAGGATTCGCCTTCAGGACTGCTCCGCAGTCAGCTGCCTGATCAGGGTGAAGAGGCAGGTACGGCAAGGCGCCCCGCCTCCCCACACAGTGTGCCCGTCTGGCTCGGGTCCTCTGCTGGCCCTGCCCACCAGAGGCCCTGTCCTGGCTGGCAGCCCTGTCTGGGAGGGACTTGGGTTTGGGGGTGCGTCACCCCACCCAGGACATGGGTCAAGCTCAGCACACCTACAAGGGGCCCCCTTTCCCAGGCTGAGTGAGGCTGTGTGGCTGATGCCCCGTTTCTCCTCGGCAGATCTGGGTGGGCGGCACAGGGCTGTCGCAGGGGAAATCAAAAGGGAAAATCTACGTGATTGATGCTGAGAGGAAGACGGTGGAGAAGGAGCTGGTGGCCCACCTGGACGCAGTGAAGACTCTCTGTTCGGCGGAGGACAGATACGTGCTGAGTGGGTCAGGCAGTGAGGAAGGAAAGGTCGCCATCTGGAAAGTTGAATAACTGTGGGTGAATTGTGAACGGTGCTGTGCTGAGAGAGACCGCATGCCTGCAGCCGGCCATCCCAGTGGGGTGGGGTCGGAGACAGTCAGCCACGGGTGGGGGACCCCTGCAGGTGTATGGGCTTCCGGATTCAGTTAAGAAACCGACAATAAGGCCCTTCCTCTCCTGGACTCACCTGATCAAACTGTACCAACAGTGTTTCAGGTTGGGTGTGTCTCAGGCGGGCAGCTGGATCAGCTGTGTGATAACCTCTGCTGAGGAGTCACCCTGTGTGTTGTCTAGAAAGTTCCAGAATCCATGTCCAGGGACCAGCACCGCAGCCAGCTGGAAGCAACGCTGCCTAATCACACGTGACCACAGACCTCAGGACTCTGGTTTAGCCTTTCCTCTACTCCGTTCATTGAACAAATGTGCATGAAGCTCCAGGCTTGCAGAAAAGGGCATTTTAAAGTGGCCACTTGTGGCTGGACACATTTGCACCTGCCCTTGCTGTCCCCCATCAGAGCAGGTGACCAAGGCCTGCCCAGGGAAGGGGACAACAGTGTGACTGACTGGACAGCGAGGCTGTCTGGACAGGGGTTGGGCCAGCTGCGTGAGCTCTGTCTTCTGTTCTTTTTAATCAGTGTAGAATTTTTATAATGAAGACACCTAGGAAGACTTTTTCAGCCAAAGATCACAGATGTGTGACCTAGTTTTCCAGTAAAGTTGCTGCTACATAAAGCCCCTTGCCAGATATGATGTCCATTCCAGCCACGCTTGCTCCTGTGTGCACACCCCATGTTTTTGTAGGTAGTGCCTTATCATCAACCAAAGATGATCTTACTGGCTATAAATAACTAAATATTGGTAAGAGGAGACCTTTTGCACATTTTTACTACATTGAGATTTCATTTCCTAACTGCTCAGCAAGGAATGTCCAGTGGGCTTGCTGGATGTGGTGGTGGGGGGCACCCTGCTAAGCACACGTGGGGGCTCGGGGCCTGTGGCCCCCCTATAAGCTCAGCTGCAGAGGGGCTGCTGGGCCTGCCCTGGGTTTCCAGGATTTAGAGACACCATGCCAGGCCTTGCTCACCCTGAGAGATCTCTTGAGGGGTTCTGTCTGGCCCCCCAGCAGGGCCAACCTTCCCAAAGCCTCTTCAGTGTCTCCAGAAGTGGCTTTGGCCCTGCATGGGGCCAAGCATTTTGAGAGGTGCAGATGGGACGTTTCAGGGTGTTCTCGGAATGCAGTGTGGAGGACAGCCAGGCGCCTGATCCCCCCGGTCTGTGCTTTGGAGGGTCTGTAAGGAAGCGGAGCCAGCAGCAGAGGGGGTGGGTTGGATTCTGCTTTTGTAAACACATGAAAAGTTAGAGTAAAAGGCATACACATCCTTATTTAATGCCAGTCCACAGGTAACCAGGTATTTTCCCTCGTCAATAATAAAGAATTTTTTTAGTTTCAGTTAATTCAGTTTAGTAAATAACACCGTCCACTTTCCTTACTTTACCCAATGTTAACTGGTGGGAGAGATCCTTACGGCAATGCAGGACCTGGATTTGCCTGTGGTTCATTTCAGGTGCCCATCAACTGTAAGGTACACTTTTCCTTTTGTGAATACCCTGATCCATTTGACAGTGACCGCATTGAAAACAGTGCTTTTAGGAAATGGCCATTTATATACTGAACGCGGGAGTGGTAAGCAGTGGCATTAGGAGGGGGCAGCAGGCCAGGCAGGGCATTGCACACAGTGGCTGGCCAGTGGGGCTTGTGGAAACGCAAAGGGCACTTTCATACCATCAGCACTTCCTCCAGGATGGATGATTTGTCATGGGAAGACCCCGAATGTGCCAGAATTCATTACATAGATGACGCCTTCCTTGCCTCAGCTTCAGAAACCTGAATTAAACTGGTACCAAAAAGGTGTTTATCTTGAACTAGAAGCCAACCTAACACTGTTTCAGCTCTCCAGCTGTTTCATACAACAGGAAAGAAAACTTGCTTTTGGGTCCTGGTGCCACTCCACAGTGCCAGTCAAAGCCCCCATCCCCATTATCACTGCTAAGTCATAATGATGATCACAGGGCACTGTTTTTATGGTTTGTTCTCAGAAGACATGAATGCATTACTGCTCTCAAATGTTGTTCTTGGCATTGAATGTGATTGTAACATCTGAATTAAAAGTGCGTGACTCTTGTCCACTTCTAGAAGATTCGTAGGAAGGTGGAGTGCTTCCTCCACATGGCTGGGAAAAGCATGACTGGAAGCCAGGCAGAGGTGCCCACTGTCTGCCGCCTGCAGATGTTTGTCTCCTGCAGGGATGCCTTGGGATCCCCGGAGGTGAGGCAGAGGCTTGTGCACACTTGAGAGCTGGTTTCTCACTCTTGCTGCAGCTCAGCTGCCATGAGACCTTGAGCGTGCACAGGACTCCGGGAGCTCTGGGTTTCTATGCCCTGGAACAGAGGCAGCCTGGGGCTCTGCATGAGGCAGGGGGCTGGCGCCCAAGGCAGGCGTAGCTGGAGACCCGCCCATGTGACCTGACCCCCTGTGAGGTGGAGATGGTTCCTTCCTACGGGGGTGGCTTGGAGAAAGACCAGAGCGCCCCACCGCCAGGCCTGGCAGAGCTCAGAGTACATCCCATCCCCAGCCAGGCCTGCTGGGCTCTTGTGAGAACAAAGAAAGGGCAGATAAAGGTGTGTGAGTGGCTGCAGAGGGCTGCCCAGTGGCTGCAAGGCCGGGAGCCACCTCCGACTGCAGATCATGACCTTCCTGCTCCCAAAATGAGATTACCCAGGATTAGGGTGGACCCTAAGGCCGATGACAAGTGTCCTTAGAAGAAGAGAAGACAACAAGACGACACTGGGGGACATACCAAATTACATGTCACCTACAGTAGATGCACTTTAAATATCAAAATACAAATGGGACAAAAGGATGAAAACCAGTGTGCCATGCAAACAATAAGCATTAACAAGCTGGTATAGCTGTTGGTGTCAGCCAGGAAACAAACGGGGATTACAAATAATGCTAAGAAGTCCAGTTCATCAGGAAAATGACATCCCATATGTAAATGTACGTAATAGAGAATCAAGGTCAATGAAGCGAATCTGGTAGGACTACAGGAGAAGGGGGACAAATGCACACTCGTAGTTGGAGATTCCAACACCTTTCTCACTAACAAGTAACAAAAAACTAGCAAGGATCTGGAAGATCCGCACTGCCAGTGGCCGTGGCCTCATGTCATAGGAGACGGCCCTGCAGGCCTGCTACGCGGCAAGCACATTGTCCAAGTGCACACAGGAGTGTCCGTCCAGCTAGACCATGTGCTGGGCCATAAAATAAGCTTGAAAAGATTGAAATCTTACAGGATATGCCCTCAGGCCATACCACAGACTAGAAATCAACAGCAACAATCACCTAAAATTCCCCAAATGAAAATTATGTTGAAAATGAAACATCCTTCCAAATAATTGAAGGGTCACATAAAAAAATCACAAGGGAAATTAGAAAACAATTTGTGGGATGCAGTTGATGCAGTGCTTAGAAGAAAAATTATATTTTTAACTACCTCTGTTAGAAAAAAGGGTTAAAATCAGTAAATTTCCATCATAGAATATAGAAAAGTAAAAGCACATTTAATCCAAAATAAGTAAAGAAGAGAAATGATAAAGACCAATAATCAGTGAAATGGAAAACAACAAAGCCAAATACTTGTTCTTTAAAGTAATCCGTAAACTCTAGCAAGATCGGTCACGGAAAAAAAAAGAACAGAAATTATCAATATCAGCAGTGAGAGGACAACTTAATGGCAATAAATGTGACAGCTTAGTTGAAATGTACATGTTTCTTAAAAAACTACTTCATGAAGCCAGTGCAAGAGGAAGGAGAAGTTCCGCAGTCCTTTGTCTATTAAGGAAATTCATTTTAGTCATAAATCTTCCCACAAAGAAAATCGTAGGCCAAGTCGATTTCATTAATGATTCTAGCAAACTCTTAAGGATGAAATAAGAGAACTCCAGAGAAACTCCACCTGAAGAGGAGAAAGCCTCCCGGCTCATTTCAGACCAGCATGACCCTGTACTAAAACCCACCAAAGCTCCTACAGGAAGACAAAGCTATGCGCCACACTCCTCATGAACACGGATGCACAGTTCCTGAACAAAACATTTGCAGATTGAATCTAGCAGTAGTTTAAAAGGTAATGTAGCGCGACCAAGTGGGGTTTGTTGTAGGAATGCAAGGTTAACTTTACACTTGAAAATCGGTCTGTATCATTCAGTATACTAGTAGAACAAAGGATGAAAGCCTTAATGATCATCATCTCGATAGAGAAATCTGGCAAAATAAGATACTCATTCATGATAAAAATCTCAGCAAACTAAGAATAGAAAGGAATGTCTTCGAACTGATTAAGAGCATCTACAAGTAACCTGTAGCAAGCTTGATGGGGAAGGTCGAACTGCTTACTCCCTAAGATCGGGAACAAGGCAACGACGTTCACTTTCATCCTTCCTGTTCCACACTTTGCTGGAGGTTCTAGTCATGGCCATAAGGCAAGGAAAATAAAAGATTGGACTGGAACGGGCAGAACTGTCTTAGTTCACAAACAGCATGATTGTGTATACAAATTCTAAGTAATCTTTTTTTAAATTACTAGAGTAAGCAAATTTAAAGATACAAGGTCAATATAAAATAATCATTTCTACGTTCTAATAGCAAACAATTGGAAAATCTTACAATAGAATCAAAGTACATCAAATGGGAATAGGGAATAGATTAATAGATTAATGAAATATGTGCTAAACCTGGACACTTGACAACTCAAAGCTTTGCTGAGAGAAATTTTTAAAGACCTAGATAAAAGATATACCATGTTCATGGATTGGAAAATTAAATACTGTAGAGATGTTCTCTCCAAGATAACCCAGTGCATTCACTTTAATCCCTATCCCAACATCATCTAATATATATATATATATATATATATATATGTGTGTGTGTGTGTGTGTGTGTGTGTGTGTATACTGACAATTTGGTTATATATAGGTTATCTTGACTCTACCAGGTATTTCCCATATATATATGGAAAAACTGGAGGACTCACTATGTGACTGAAAGCTTTACTAAAAAGCTACAATAATTAAGATTATAAGGGAGTGGAATTTTGCATAAGGATAAACAGATTAGTGGAACACAATGTAGTGTCTTGACACAAGTGTACATTTGATATTCAACAAAAATTCTAAGAATTCATAAGGAAAGTCTTTTCAACAAATAGTGCTGCAACAACTGAATAAATGCATGGAAAAGAGAAGCTCAACCCTGATACCACAATTTTAGGTGGTTAAAATTAAATTGATATTCACAAATTTAATTCAAGGTAGATCATAAGCTTTAAGTTCTAGAAACAGGTATAGGAGAGTGTCTTTGCAATCTTGGTATAGACAAAGTTTTTTAGAGGACACAAAATGCTGAATACAAAAGAAAACAATTGGGTAAATTGGATTTCATCAAAATACATCATTAAGGAGCTAAAAGAGAAAACAGAGACTGGGAGAAAACATTTACAATGCTATCTTCAGTGAAAACTTGTGTTCAAAATATATAAAGAATGCCCACAAATCAAAGTAAGGACAAACAACTCAATTAAAAAATGGCAAAAGATACTTCACCAATGAAGAGTTTGAAAAGGTGGTTAAAATCATCAGTCATCAGGGAAATACATATCAAACCACCATGAAATACCACCTGATGCTCACTGCGATGGCTAATGTTAAAGATTCACAATAGCAAATATAGATGATATGGAATGAATATAACTCATACACTTCTGAATGGAAATTGCATAACTACTTTGGGAGAACTGTTTGTCAGTTTCTTATAGACACATACCTACCCTACAACTCAATTTCACATAGTGTTTCACTGAAGAGAAATGAAAACGTCTATGGAGACGTTTATGAAAATGTTCACACCATCTTTATATGTAATAGTCCTAAACTAGAAACACCTAGCAACTGGAAAAAGGATGTGATACATCCCCACAGTGGAATACTGTGCATCAGGGGGAGGAGGCTGGACTATGCACAGTGATGTTTATGACTCTCAGGAGCATTACTGTGAGCAAAAGTAGCCAGACACAAAAGCTACAAACTGTATTTTTCCAGTTACATGAAGTTCAAAACAGACAAAACGAATCTGCGGTGATGGGATTCTTATCTGTGGTTGCTTATACAGGGCGGACTGAACTGGAAGTGGTCAAGAGAGATGACAAGGGGACATTTTGAATTTGATGCCAATAAATTTGACAACTCAGGTGAAATGGAAAATTTATCTGAAAGACATAACCAACCAAAGCTCATTCAAGAAGAAATAACCTGAATAGCCTTATTTACTATTAAATTTAAATAATGAAATTTAATCCAGAGTTTAAAACTTCCACATGAAGAAAACATACAGAATCCACTGATGAATTCCTCCAGACATACAAAGAATAAATTATACAAATTATATGCTAATTTTTCCCATAAAAATGAAGCAGGGCTTGCTTGTCTCATATTATGAGACCAACATTACCTTGCTGCCAAAACCAGACCAGATATTACAAAGAAAAGATGCCAGTTTCCATCATGAACATAAACATTAAAATCTTTAACAAAGTCTTAGAAAATCAAATCCAGCAATACATGAAAAGGGTAATTACCTTATGACCAAGTGGGATTCATTCCAGGAATGGAAGGTTGTACAACATTCAAGTCCAGTTGACCTCACTCACCACACTAAGAAACTGGAAGAGAGAAACCCCCACACTCAGAAAGATCCAGAAAGAGCATTTGACATAATTCCTCATTCACTCGTGATCATCGTTTTGGCAAAGGAACAGAAAGCGCCTCAACTGGATAGAGGGCAGCTGTTGACAGCAAACATCGTGCTTAGTGGCAGAAGACTGAACACTGTCCTAAAATCGAGAACAAGGCAGACTTCTTTACCTCAGACTGGAAGAAAATTTCTACGAAATGTAAAGGGTTTTCTCAAGACTCAGTGAGAAAAACTGAAAACTAAAAATCTGGACAAAAATTAGTTTAGATGGTTCACTGATGATACACAAATGGCAAATAAACAGGAAAAGATGGCCAACACCCAAGGAAATTCACATTAAAACTACAGTGAGACACTATTGCCAAGCCCTAGAACAGC